GTTTCTTTCACTCTCATTCTTAGTCAAGCACTTGGATACACAATTCAGAACCTTGTGCCCCTTCTAGCACTTTAGTCATATCTGAAAGCAGCTTCAGGGAGGTCTTTGCTATGAAAGCAGCTCCAGGGAAATCTTTGCTGTGAAACCTAACAGCACCACACTTACATTTTCAAGTTAAGTATAAGTTATTAGAAAAAGGCTGGTGGAGGGGAGGGACCTTAAGAAGGTTATTCTTTACCTAGCTCAGCAATGGGCAAACTACGGCCCGGCGGACCTTTTAATCCGGCCCGGCGGACCTTTTAATCCGGCCCGCGGAGCTAGGCTCCCGCTAGGCTCCTCTCAGTCCGCCCTGAAGACTGGTGTAGCATGAAAATCTGTCTCCTATGAGGATCTGTCCCCCTCGGCGTATCTGCGTATGTGCCGGAGATCGCCGATCGGCTGCTAATGCCTGAAACTGGCACATGCACAGATACGTCGAGGGGGACAGATCCTCATAGGAGACAGATTTTCATGCTACAGGACCGGAACGGCGCGGGGAAGACGGCGAGAGGAACGCGCGGAGCAAAGGTAAGTGAATTGACACAGGGGGGACTTGGGGACTTAATATGGGGAATGAATTACTATGGGGGATGAATTACTATATGGGGGGGATGAATGAATTACTATGGGGGATGAATTACTATGGGGGATGAATTACTATATGGGGGATGAATTACTATATGGGGGATGAATTACTATGGGGGATGAATTACTATATGGGGGATGAATTACTATATGGGGGATGAATTACTATATGGGGGATGAATGGGGGATGAATTACTATGGGGGATGAATTACTATATGGGGGATGAATTACTATATGGGGGATGAATTACTATGGGGGATGAATTACTATGGGGGATGAATTACTATATGGGGGATGAATTACTATATGGGGGATGAATTACTATGGGGGATGAATTACTATATGAGGGATTAATTACTATGGGGGATGAATTACTATATGGGGGATGAATTACTATGGGGGATGAATTACTATATGGGGGATGAATTACTATGGGGGATGAATTACTATATGGGGGATGAATTACTATGGGGGATGAATTACTATATGGGGGATGAATTACTATGGGGGATGAATTACTATATGGGGGTTAATTACTATGGGGGATGAATTACTATATGGGGGATGAATTACTATATGGGGGATGAATTACTATATGGGGGATGAATTACTATATGGGGGATTAATTACTATGCTTACTATGGGGGAATATTACTATACTTACTATGGATGACACATACACATCATTCATCTACTCTTGGTCCGGCCCCCGGGTCCAATATATGAACCCATTGCGGCTCTCAAGTCAAAAAGTTTGCCCACCCCTGACCTAGCTAGTTGTCAACAGCAGTATTGTCAGAACACAACTACTCTTGTACAACAAGATCAACAATATAGATTTCAAGTAGAAGTATAAACTGGTAACACTTTGTGAACTGTGTGCAAATTAGAAGTCAGTAAAGTTGCATAGAACATTTTTTAGTGAGGGAACAAAAGCTGCTTACAGTTATTAAAACTAGGTAATGCCCTTATGAACTCTTAATGTCTTAGGCTCGGTTCACACTATTGTGGATGTAGGAAGGCATTTAAAATTGCAGGCAGGCAACTACAGCAAAAATGCACTGCTGTTTATCAGACGCGTGGGGGTGCTGGCATTGGAAAATGAGGCTCAATTTCCTGTGCATGGAAACACATGTTGCCAAGCACCATGTGGTTTATGTGCGACTGTAATTTTAGAAAAAGGCCAGGGACCTTTTTTCTGCATTTCCTATGGGTACCACAGCTCATTCAAATGAACTGACTACTTTGCTCACACAAGAGTGAACCTAGCCTAACATTCACAAAAATATGCAAATTATTTATCTTACAGTGCATCCAGAGAGTATTCACAGCGCTTAGGTTTTGCCACATTTTGTTATGTTGCAGCCTTATTCCAAAATTGATTAAATTAATTTTTTTCCTCAATGGTCTACAAACAATACCCCATAATGACAATGTGAAAGAAGTTTGTTTTGAAATCTTTGCAATTTATTAAAAATAAAAAAACACATGTACATAAGTATTCACAGCCTTTGCCATGACACTCAAAACTGAGCTCTGGTGCATCTTGTTCCCACTGATCATCCTTGACATGTTTTCACAACTTGATTGGAGTCCACCTGTGGGAAATTCAGTTGATTGGACATCATTAAGAAAGGCATAAACCTGTCTATATAAGGTTCCACAGTTAACAGTGCATGTCAGAGTACCAGCCAAGCCATGAAGTCCAAGGAATTGTCCGTAGACCTCCGAGACAGGATTGTATCAAGGCACAGATTTGGGGAAGGGTACAGAAAAATTTCTGCAGCATTGAAGATCCCAATGAGCACAGTGGCCTTCATCATCCCTAAATGGAAGAAGTTTGGATCCACCAGGAATCTTCCTAGAGTGGGCTTCCCAGCCAAAATGAGTGATCGAGGGAGAAGGGCCTTAGAGATAAACAAGCACCCAATGGTCACTCTGAAAGAGCTCAAGCATTTCTCTGTGGAGAGAGGAGAACCTTCCAGAAGAACAACCATCTCTGCAGCACTCCACCAATCAGGCCTGTATGGTAGAGTGGCCAGATGGAAGCCACTCCTCAGTAAAAGGCAAATGGCAGCCCGCCTGGAGTTTGCCAAAAGGCACCTGAGGGACTCTCCAACCATGAGAAACAAAACTCTCTAGTCTGATGAAACAAACATTGAACTCTTTGGTCTGAATGCCAAGCATCATGTCTAAATGAAACCAGGCACCTGGCCAAAACCATCCCTACAGTGAAGCATGGTGGTGGCAGCATCATGCTGTGGGGATGTTTTTCAGTGGCAGGAACTGGAAGACTACTCAGGATCGAAGGAAAGCTGAATGCAGCAATGTACAGAGACATCCTTAATGAAAACCTGTTCCAGAGTGCTCTGGACCTTAGACTGGAGTATTGGTTCATCTTTCAACAGGACAACGACCCTAAGCACACATCCCACATAACAAAGAAGTGGCTATAGGCCAACTCTGTGAATGTCCTGGAGTGGCCCAGTCAGAGCCCAGACTTGAACTCAATTGAACATCTCTGAAGAGATCTGAAAATAGCTGTGCACTAATGCTCCCCATCCAACCTGATGGAGCTTGAGAGGTACTGCAAAAAAGAATGGGAGAAATTGCCCAAAAAATAGGTGTGCCAAGCTTGTAGCATCATAGTCAAAACAGCTTGAGGCTGTAATTGGTGCTAAAGGTGCTTCAACAAAGTATTGAGCAAAGGCTGTGACTACTTATGTACATGTGGTTTTTTCGTTTTTTATTTTTAATAAATTGCAAAGATTTCAAAACAAACTTCTTTTATGTTGTCATTATGGGGTATTGTTTGTAGAATGTTGAAGAAAAAAATGAATTTAATCCATTTTGGAATAAGGCTGTAACATATCAAATTATGGTAAAAGTTAAGCGCTGTGAATACTTTCTGGATGCACTGTACATGTCATCTCAATATAACGTTTAGGTGCAGTTGAGCTTTTCTGAAAGGCTATTAAGCACAATTCAAATGATCTGCACTATGGCTGCTCATTAATTTAGAGCCATTGATTAAGGTAGTTAGTTGGTGTCCCAAAACCTTAGAAATGGCTTTGTAACCATTTCCAGACTGATACATGTCAGTTACCTTGTTTCTTGAATCTCTTCAGATCGCCACATGATGTGTGGCTTTTTGAGATCTTTTAGCATGCTTCACTTTGTCAGACAGTTTCTATTTAAGTGATTTTTTCATTCAACAGGTCTGGCAGTAATCAGGCCTGGGTATGGCAGGTGAAATTTAACTCCGCTATCCAAATCACTTTGTCAGACAGCTTCTATTTAAGTGATTTTTTGATTCAACAGATCAGCTAAACAAAAAGCTAAAAAAAGTTTTATTTTTTTCATTTATAGCTCAAAAAATAAAAAACCCAGTGATGATCAAATACCACCAAAAGAAAGCTCTGTTTGTGTAAAAAATTTAATGTGTGTATAGTGTTGCATGACTGTGCAATTGTCAGTTAAAATAGCACAGTGCTGTATAGCAAAAAATGGCCTGGTCATGAAGGGGGGGGGGGAATCTTCTGGAGGGCAAGTGGTTCATCTTCATAACAAAAACATCAACTTTGTTCTCTCAGCAGCTCAGCGCACCCTATTCCCCTTCTCAACAGTGACTCAGCAATCTTCCAGTCTTCTATTTTTTAATGTACACACAAAGCAGGTGCTCTGGGAAGAGGAAAGTAGAGTGAATTGAGCTGCATATATAGCTGAATTGTGTATTTGGGGAGGAATTGCTTAGAGTGTCTATAGCTACAAATGATAATGGGGCCCTACTTTAAAGTGGTTCTATAGCTAAAACTTGTTTCACCTTAATGCATTCCCTGCATTAAGGTAAAAAAATGTTTTGACACTTGCTGTGCCTCTCCCCCCACCCCTTACAGACACTTAACTGAGTCCTGTACCCATCCAATGCAGTGCTTTTCTTTTACTTTGTCTTTCTCTTCAGCAGCAGCCATGGGCTCCTGTCAGTCAAATCCTGTAAGCGAAGAGAGTGGGGGGGGAGGCAAGATTGAGCTGCACTCTGTGTGTCAATAGACACACACAGCCCAGCTCAGGAACGAGCTTGCACATCTTCCCCATTGCAAGCCGCGTGCTTTGGTGGTAGACACAGAAGAGGAAAAGCACCAGCAGGAGACCAAAGAAGAAAATCAAGGTGGCAGCTCTGTGCAAAACCATTGCACAGAGCAGGTAAGTATAACATGTTTATTTTAATTTTAAAAAATTGCATTTAGTACCACTTCAAAGCTTTGCTGCTTATTAAGAATAATAATGTCCATTACCTAGCCATAGATACACTGATGACTGCAAAATGCTTAATAGTTTATGCTTATAATGAGAGATACTTTTTTTTTTTTTGCAGGAGGCTGGATGGCTTACTGGCATTAAAGAGTCAGACTGGCAGCAGTACAGAGTTTGTGACCCATACAAGGGACTGTTCCCAGAGAACTTTACTCGAAAACTAGAATAACTTATGCAAAGACGTGGATGCTGATGGACTTTTCATTTTTGGGCTCCTGAAACAACAGGCACATTTGGGGCTATATTGTTAACTGTTAAAGACTGATGCCTGTCTTAAAAAAAGCTTGGCAAATCATATGAAAAACAAAACAAGCATGAAAGCAAGAAGTAAGCTATATTGTACTGAATTGTAAATGGAACAGAATCCATGTTGTTCACTTGTATGCAATCACTGGTTTGTTTGTGCTTTGTCAGAACAGTGATTTGGTGGACTATTACTATAAAGATCCTTAAAGATCCATTTGCTTAAAATATATCAAAGTCATTTGGAAATTCAGATTTAATTCATATATACAATTATGCTTAATGAAAACAGAGGAAAATACCCAAGATTCCAAAGCAGACATACCGGAGGATTTTCTTTATTGTAATTATGCTGCTATTGTCCTACTTACTATAGTATATTTCATATCACTGAGCCATATGTCCTTCAGACAAAAGTGATATCATTCTTGTCCAAAGTTAATTCCAACTGAAATGTACAGGGAGACATAGTGTACGCATACTGTACACCCTAGGCTTCTGGCCTTCAAGTCTTAATTAAATAACATGATTTTGTTGTGCATTGCTCATTAAGGTTTAATAGGCCCAAAAGTGGTTTTGCACATAAAGCATGAAAAATTGTTACATCGATGGCAAATATCTCAAAGGACTTTACTAGTTGCAGGCAATGCAGATCTTCTGTAAAGAGTCTTGACCCTTCATCCAGTCCTTTCACTGGCCCTCATATGCCCCGATTCATCAAACTGCAAAAAGCATTGAACACTGGCTAAATAGCACAAAAGGAATGCTATAATGGCCTCTCATAAATATACCATGGAATCTTAGCACACCATAAGTGCTTATTAATGTCTTAAGTGCTGTTGCAGCTTAATGAATCAGGGCCACTGTGTTGTCTACTGGTCATGGTGGTATGGTGTTCAGTGGCTGCATTTTGGACAAAAACATTTCATTGTCATTTACAACACCTGTTCACCTAAGGTTTACTTTATCCCATTGGTGGAGTGACTGATCCACAACGCATATTCACTAATAAAACACTTGTCATGAATCTTGCATATTAGAAGTAAAGCATTCACTTTAACACAGTACATACATAGAGGTACAGTATATTGCGACTCATTAGGTGGAACTAAACCTTTATCTTTTGCAACATAAAAACAATGTAACTCCTGTGCACTAATAAGTCTGTATTGTACTAAATTGCTGCACTGCGGAAGATTTTACTAGTAACTGTATAGTAAACTGAGCAGACTGAACAATACCCACAGAATTTTATGTCTTAAAACTGAGAAACTGCTGCAAATTTTTTCAGTGTTCTTTACAAACTTATCTAATGCAGTTATGTATCATGTACGTTGTCCTTTATTGTTGATTCTTGAGTCTGTAGTATCATTGAAAAGTGGTTTGCTTATTTTTCTCTTTTGTTTGGCATTGTGATGTTCAACTAGTTTGCTGCTTGAAAGCACAACTAGCTTCCTTTGCCAAAGCATTCAAAAATACTTCTTCGTAAATAATGTGAAATTTTCATTATAGTACTGAAAGTGAAAGCAACATAAATACACAACTGGTGGTCCTTTTAGTTCACAAAATATTACCATTATTTATCCTGGCAAGAAAAAAATATATTTTGTCTGCACATATTGATTTCAAATAAATGGTGTATTCTGTATGAAATGCCATCATATCTATTCTGTTTTTCAATGTTGTGTCATCCCTAATAAACTTTTTGTTGAATCATTATTAGTATTTGTATTATAGTCCATTATATTTGGTATTGATCAAAGTATATATCTGGATTACTCAGTAACATGAAAAGCAAAGTGCAAATCATAGTAATCTATGGCAGTGTTTCTCAACCTTTTTTTCAATCAAGGCACCCTTTAAAATGATGAATAATCTCAAGGCACCCTTTAAAATTCTGCAGAATCTCAAGGCACCCCAATCTAAAATGTAAAAACCTATTCCACACACATCCAGTACACCCAACGTTATTCCAGTGTGTCTCTCTCATTTTCTCTCCCTCACTCTGCTAATGTGACCCCAGTACTGACAGAGAGGGGCATGGGAGGGCCAAACAAGGATGATGTGCAGGCACCCAACATCCTCCTTGTCAATTAATGATGTCATTAATTCTCCTAGATTGTAAGCTCGAAAGAGCAGGGCCCTTGAATCCCTTGTGTTCTGTTTTTTTACTGTATTGTCTCATGTACTGTCCCCCACTATAATGTACAGCACTGAGCAAACCTTTTAGTGCTATATAAATACTATATAATAATAATAATATTAATATTATTAGTTGTTAGGATGCAGGCAGCTAGAAGATCATAAAAGTGCACAATGAAAACCTTTGGCTTTGTGTAACCAAAAGGCAGGATTGATCCACCTGCTGGCTTGTATACAATTTTTGGGCTTTTTGCCAAGGCACTCCTGAAGAAGTCTGAAGGCACCCCAGGGTGCCTGGGCACCCTGGTTGAGAAAGGTTGATCAATGGTGATTATATGACCATAAAGAAAACTCTACACCAAGAATGTGTTTGGGTGAAGTGTGGTGGGGATGTAAGATTAGATTATCTGGAAGCAAAACTAATATTGTTTATAAAACTTTATAAAATATAGAGAATAAGTGAAAATAGCAGAAAATGAAAAAAAAAACACAGTAGGAAGCCTTGCAACACTTTTGCTGACAGTTTAGGCACATGTGATAGAGTCAGGTAGTTCTTGTTTGTCAGCAGGCAACAACGCCCCAGCAATGAGTGAGGCTGTGTAGCCAACAGTGTCCAGGCAACCAGTGATGCTATGTGACCTTGGGGCTGAACATGCACTGAGGACAATGTTCAGAGTATGGATAATCTGGCCTCATTGCTTGGGGTACTCCAGTTTCCTCAAACTCTCCAAAGACATGCTGGTAGCTTAATTGGCTCCTGTCTAAATTGGCCCTAGTATGTGTATGTACGAATGTGAGTTAGGGATCTTAAATTGTACGCCCCTTGAGGGTTAGGGACTGATGTGAATGCACAATATATATGTAAAGCGCTGTGTAAATTGACGGCGCTAAATAAGTACCTGAAATAAATAAAAAAATATACTTGCTGCCCCCCCCACCATGCCTCCATGTGATAAATTCATGTACTTATCTCCAACAGATACATGAATCTGTCACACACAGAACCATTGGTTGCGTGGAGGCACAGCACAATCCTAAGAAGGTTTGTGATACTCTATAAATTTCAGTGAAAGTGCTTACAGTGATTGGATATAGAATGGAAAAGATAGAGATTGAGCAAGAAAGATTTTTCCAAAGAGTAGAAGATCAAAAATCAATCCCTAGTCTAATAAAACTTAAAGCTGAACTCCAGGCAGTTATAAAATGCACGTTAATGCTGCTCTTTTTTAATAAATAAATCACTGTGGATGGACTTTTGTCTTTTTTCAGCCAGAATAACTATGTAACTAAGTTTATTTTTTTAATGGAACAATTGCAATGTGTAACTGAATTTGACTTTAGTGTGCAGCAGCATTCAGACTGGGAGAGTAAGGGACAAAACTGGGAGATAATCAGGTGAGCTTCATGCGCAAATGGTGAAAAGGAATGAGGTGACTGGAGGAGAGAATAGAGTGAACGAAAAGAAAACTTCATCAGTATCCTGCTGTTCTTTCAGCAACAGTTTTTTTCAATAAGCAAGCATATATTCACTAGCACACCATAGATCACGATATGGTCCAAAAAGGTTTTTATTCTAAAAAGATCACATTACAAAGAAAAGTGCAATGTTTAGGAGCCACGCAGGACCCCTTCGTCAGGCATGCGATAAGGGTGCAGTAGTGACTATACAGACTATATATACACATAAACCACCAATCAAAGCCAAGAACATATCCCCACCCCCCTCAACTGTCATCCCATGACATCACAATCCCACCAAAATATGTAAAATATGATAAAATAGAGACATAGTATTATGTGTATATACCTCCATGCACTCAAAATTATCATCTACCAAGCGCAGCAGGAGTAGCAACTAATTTCTCTTGTCGATCGGGCACACTAGCCAGATGTGCCTGATCGGGGATCGCTAGCAAGGGTGGCCACCAATCAGGGTGTACCTCGTGTGGCACATGCGCGCATAGCTGCTGAGCGGCGGTATGCCATCGTCATAGCAACACATGGTGTGGGATCGCTGGTCAAGCCAGCTCTAAGAAGGGAGCTGTAAAGACATCAGGGAAACTGAGAAAAAGTAAAGTATAGGTGTAGGTGAAAAATAAAGAATGTAACAGTTATCAAGTACAAAATGAAAACAAAAAAAGGAAACCACAAGGGAAAGAAAAAAAAGGGAAACAGAAAAAAGGGGGAAGAAAAGGGGAAAAAAGGGGGAAAAGCTAAGAAAGGGAAAAAAAAAGGAAAATAAGGGAAAAAAAGAGAGAAAAAGGAAGAAAAAAGTAAAAAGAGAAAGAAAAAGCAGAAAAAAAGAGGAAAAAAAAAGAGAGAAAAAGATGGGGGAACTAAAAAAAAAAATAGGAAAAAAAGGAAGAAAACAAGGAAAAAAGGGGGAAAGAAAAAAGGAAATGTAGGAGGGGGGGAGAGAGAAAGAAAAAAGGAAGAAGAAAAAAAGGAAAAAAAAAAAAAAGAAAAATGGGAAAAAGAAAAAGGATAAAAGGAAGAAAAAAAGAAAAACGTGGTGGGGGAGGGGAAGAAGAGAGCAAATCAGGAGAATGGAAGTAGGGTAATTTGGAATTAGGGGTGAAGAGGATAAAAAATGGAAACAGAAGAAAAAAGAGTAGAAGAAAAGCATTGCCCCTAAGAACAATGAAACCTCACATAGCACTATCATCAGCATCTAGCCCAGTGGAACAATGTATGTGGCTATATCAAGTGAAATAAATGTCAACCCCACCAGGGGACACGATTAATCTAGGAGCAGGGTTGGGGCTACGTGGTCAATCCTATATA